TGACCTCCTGTCCCTCCTGACTCTTGCATTGCACCGGTTCCTGAGTTTCAGGTATGCATCGTGGTCGATCTGACTCTTAGATACGTGCCACGTAAAACAAGCGTTCCGCTTTGCTTGCAGAATACGTTGCGTGCCTCTCTTTAACTATGATGACTTTCTTTTGGGCTGTGTTGTGACTAAAGGGACGGTATCCGAGATTACTGTATGAATAATCTTTTTTACCACCTCCCAGTGTTCAACCACAGATAGCTCATCCCATGCTAAGGGCCAGTCTGCGTCGGACAAGAGCCTCCGCATTTCAGCATAGTCAGCCTTGCTGTAACACAGACATGGTCGCGTAACGTCCCACTGCAAATGCTCACGGAGAACGAGATCGAAACCTGTGACTGCATGGTCACTACTTCCCAGAGGAGTCATGATCTGGACCTTTTCGACGAGTAGTTGGTCACTGGTTAGAATGTAGTCTAGTTTTGATGACTTTCCACAAGGATCATCTCCAGCATTCCCAGTCAATCCCGTGTTTCGAATAGTTTGCAGTAGATTTCGGCCAAATTTTCCCATAGCATACCCCGAGCCAAGGTTCAGTGATGGGGCATTGAAATCTCCAGCTATGGTGATTTGGTCATAACCGAAGTCCCGTACCACTTTGGTGGTGCTGAGCAGTAGCTGATTGTGCTCTGCCCCTTAGGTGGGAGATCGGTAGATGCCACAGTAAATGCTTCGTGTGGCCTACGGTGAAATGACACCATATGGAGTCTGGGAGTTCTATAAGTGGTGGGTCCGTTGCGCGCACACATTTAAGTTGCCTATCAAAGTATATAGCAACTCCCCCTCCTTCCTTATTATCCCTGTCTCTCCTCACCAGAACCATATCACCTATACTGATTTCGTTATCGGCGATAGTGGGGGTTAGCCACGTTTCGGTGAGAATGATCATTTTCAGTTGTAGGTGTGCCTGGAGATTTCGGAGTTCGCCTACTTTTCCTCTCAGCCCCCTCACATTGCTATATAGGCGGCTGACAGTGAGTTTCACAACCTCAGCATGTTGTGGGGTAGTTGACGTGAAGCTGTCTGCTGGTAGGGGACTTAATGTTGGGACTAGTTGGCCGATTCCGACGGAACCCGCCCGTTGTGGCTTTTTCCATGGATTTAGGCAGGACACTTGGGTGACACAGACTGTTATTCTCAGAACTGCGTCACTCTAGTGTCACTGAAGCTTGGGGACATATTAAAGCCTCTGTTTGCTGCCTCCGTATGGTTCGAGGTCTGCTTTCGCAGCATCGGATGTGTCCTCCCACTTTCCCTTTGGTCTCATACCACCGTTGAAGTGCTATGGCCAACTGCTCCGAGGAGTTGAATGTGACACTTAGCAGCTTTGGAGAGCTAATCAGTGTGAGATGAGCGGGGCGAGGTAGTCGGGAAATGGAGATGGCTCCAGAAGCGCCAAGGGCCATCTGAGATGACAGCCATCTCCATTGCTGTACGTCATGCATGTGTTTTTCACAGGCAGTGCCCGTTCCCAGCTCCGGAACACCGTGTACCACCATAGAGGTAGAAGGCATCAGTTCCGGTGACTCCCTCACCATTTGTCTGATAGCCCATGGCTTGTCTTGTCTCACCCTTATGTTCGAACTTCTGTCGATGGCTAGTACCTGAACCATCAATAGTACTTTTTCGGCCTCTTCGGCAGAGTCCAGTGTAACCCTTAATGGGGATGGCTTACCCTGAGGCGTGTGGACATCCCTGTACAGCCTGCACAATTTCACTGAACTAACGTTCAGACCTAATTTATTGCACAGGTTGGACCACTGTTCCTGATCAAACAGGGCCCGCTATTCAAGCAAGCTATCCTTGCTCACAGGTACGTTAAAGAGGATAAGAGAATTAGACCGATTAACCTCACACTTAGGTCTGGCCTTTGGCTTCTTGTATTCCTTTGCAGCGTCAGCAACTTTAGGCTTCATCAGGTTCTGGCCAACCTTTGTTGTGCTGCCAAGCTTGCTTGTGGATGCAAGTGGTGCTTTTCTAATTCTATCTTCCCTTGATGTTGTGGGTCCAACCTTGTAAAAATTGGCATTTATAGTCAGTAGGACTGGAGTGTCCTTCTTACTGTCTGTGCCAAGTTTTGGCAGTGTGATGTTAGCAGGTGGGGAGCTGCATAGGACTGTGTTGGGACACAAGAGCGGCATGTTGTTTCTGCTAACCGCAGACACGCTATGTGGAACTATGCCGGGGCGACAAAGTGGACAGATGTACCAAAAGCACGGGCATGGGTTATTTCTCATAAACTCGTAGTATGCTTTCGACACCTCTTTGTCACAACGGCAGCGCACCCATCGTTTGCAAAAATTGCATTCAAACGCTGAGTCAGTTCTAGAAACTATGATACTGCACGCCTGACATTCGCCTCCCTTACTTGATGACGCCTCTGAGGTCTTATGACGTCTTTAGCGTTTCCTTTTAGATTTGCAGTTTCACACACTGGCTTTCAGTTGATGCAGGTGTAATATCTTGTCCACCTGGTATTGCCTGCGCCGTTTCAGTACCAGACCGTGGCAATGCAGACGTGGTATCAGAACAGACGAGACCTACACAAGTCTTTACGATCGGTATGCGAGAACGCGTTGATGTCCCTAGGTTTTTGCCTTTTCTGGCTGAAGTCCTTGTGACTACAGAGTATGGTGTTTAAGTGCCTTTTCTAAGGCTACTTTCGACAGCCATATTAACAATCACTAGAACTTATGCTATATAAGAATAAGAGTGCAATAGTATCTACCCGCAAGAACAAAAATAAGACTGAAAAAGTAAAAGACGTGGAAAAGAAAAGGTTTTCGACTTTGCCTAGTACTTCCTGGATGATCGGCTTCACAGCAATCACGTGGTAGACCGACAAGTCTTGTTTATCTGAACGAGTGAGGATGATGCTGCTACAGAAGTGGCACCTGAAGTTTTGGCAGTACGACACAGAGATTCAATATGTAAGTAATAGTTGAATTTAATTCACCGGCTAGAGAGATCAGGTTTCCCAAGCGGATAATTCACAAAATAGATATTTTCCGTTTGGAGAGGAAAAAGCGCGTCGTATTCAAAGAGCAATCGCAATATTACATCAATTCAATCTTCCCCCAAAACCAAGGCCACTTGAAACCCATAGCAACATATCAACTAGCATCATAACGGGGATATGCGATAAAGGCAATTGACAGGGCCGCCAACAGAACTGAAAGCATTAGGATGGCATGAATCCTGCTTTTTATGACCTAAGAGTCCTTTGGCTGTGGGAAACAGAGTGAATGTGGATGGCGCCCTAAAATACAGCGCTTAGACCAACTCTTTTTATCCCGTAAATCATGAAATCACCTGGGCTGGCAAAGATCCTGACAGTTCTCAACACTCGACTGAAGGATGACTGCAACGTGCTTACATCACAATTAAATCCTACGTTTTTGGCACTCATAAACTGCATCTGAATGCGAATCAGTCGATAAAGAAAATTTTCTTTTCTGAACTGTTTTTTCTAATATTTTGTTAGATCGGTCAGATAAATTCAACGATGGTCTTCGTGTACGCAAACAATGCACGTGGAATAACCATGCTTTCTCCCCAGATGCGTATTCATCAATATGGTACAGTAAATCACGACATGTAAAATGAAGCGAACCGTGTCTCTGTTGAGGTTATCGACTTTAGGTCATTTTGAGCAATACGTATTGCCTTTACTAGAATCACTGGTAATACGTTTACCACTTTATTTTCATCTCTGGTGAGGTCTAGATTGGAAACTTTCGTTGAATAGCCAGCACTTGTCTAAAGACAGGCTCATATTTACCGGAAAAAAGGCTGAGAGCAGTCACACACACATTATTCATGACAACCATGGGGGGAAAAAACTAACAAACTGTACCTCGCCTTCTCGTTATGCCTTAGATAGTGATCATGACGTTTCAAATTTCAGCAAATTAATGTGGATCCATCCATCTTGCCAAAGAACCTCAAAGGACATGGCAGAAAAGTTCAAAAGCAAAGGATATGTGTCGCCCCTTAGTAGTGCTCCTCTCCTCGAGTTATGAACTCTAGGAACTGATGTCTGCAAACTCATCTGATTAGTTCAAGAAGGGAATAGACAAACACATGTTCATTAGAAAAGGATGGACGCTGGATCGAAACTTTTGAGCCACCAACTAAAAATCTCATTCGGAGTATGATCACTTTCATTCAATGATTGTATTTACTTTGAAGCATCCAAAATACTAGATAGATTTGTTGGAGGTAGAAAGTCCATATTTCTGCAGCTAGAAAGGAGTTATAACGAATTCACCATTTCAAGAGGAAGTGGATATGTTTTGATCTTTAGTTTTCAAATTTCCAATAACTAGGAGTCGCATGAAGACAACCGAAAGTAACTCACAGATTCTTCTTTATGGATTATTTATAATGAAGTAGACTTACTCAGACAGTGAGCGTTGACATCTACTGCTAAAAGTTATTGATCATGGGGAACCATTTATCTTTTCATATGTTCTCAAATCATAGCATGACTGTAAAACTAGCTTACATGTTTTGATAAACAGTATTGTCCCTTTCTATTATATCTGAAGACATTAGAAAACTGTTGATTTTTTAGCACATATGAATTCTTATTTTGAAGATAGTTTGTTTTGCATTTTCACATTACTATTAAGGAGGGTAATTTTACACTGAACCAGCAAACGCTCCGTTTCAAGGTCGCACCCTATTCGTTCTTCACAGAAGCTTTGCCGCGCCAATCCGCTGGAAATAAAGATGGACTGGGGTTCATATTATGAAAGGCTCGAGGGATGGGTTAACCAACAGTATGATGGTATAGCCAGTGCACAAAGGCGTCTTGAGAAATCTCTGCAGGAGCAACAGAAATACCTTAGTGCAAATGCACTCGCTCTTAAAAAGTACCAACAGGAGATGGGGTTATTTCAGTCTTTGTATTCTCGCAGTACCACTACTGATGGCACCACCTCGCAAACAGATGGACGACAAGGAGCACAGTGTAAGTCAAATGTAAATGGTTTATGTTTTTAGCTCGGCGTTACATAATACCTCACCCATGTCGTCGAATTGCAGCTGAATGCATAGATGTTACAATAATGATGATACTGAAGCTGACTGTATTGTATTTCTTCAGGAATGACTCAAGTGTGATGTAAGACACTATATAAATAACTTATAGTAGATAAATGTAGTGAGCTCGCTAAAAGTATTGGTTCAGACATCCTGTCTGGTGTCCCAGAATATCGAACGCTACGGCACGCACATGGCTGGGCGAAGTCGGAATTCAGTGGCAAAGATTTCCAAGTTTCAAGCATTTGGAGGTTGTTCTTCTTTGCACATATGGGTGCAAGGGAAGATTTTCTCGATTTCGAAATGTTAATCCTAGTCGATCAGATTGGCCGATTTCTTAGCGCCCTTCTAGAGGTAAGAAACATTTTTGTGGAGTTAGTTTCATTTACTATATGTAATACTTTGATAAAGCTATTAGCATTAAATAGCGCAACGTCAGTAAAAACAATATCTTTTTGTTTTTCACTCATTGGGAAATACAAAAACCTTTATTATAATGGAGTTTCATTTACTTTTAAATAGTTGAGTTTTCTTTAGCTAGTTTAGTAAGCTGATTGATTATTAATGATAAAACACAACTTTTGCTACTCGTGGGTTTTAGGGTTTTATATGTGCGTGCTTGCAATATCAAGTTCGTCAAAACATACGTAATTCTGGGTTGAAATCACAAAAAAGATTCTTAAAAGAGCATTAACCAGTAGTTTTTCATGGTAGAAATCAGCTGTTTTTTAAAGAACACTAATTTTATGCATGATTCACTAGTTTTTGGTTACTTATATATAACGTACCTTTTGTCAGCTTTAGAAATAAAAGTGAGACACATGCAATCGACTTCCACTGTCACGTATAGTAAAAGTGAAAGTTAGTTCTAATTGTGTTTTAGTGTGAGTATATACCGACAATTAGTATACAACTTGATATTTCGTATTGTTTCCGTCCACTTGCTTTTTCAACAGTAGTCGTTGAAGGTACTTGAAGGCCCAGTTATTTCCTGCAAGGTGCATGTATTGCTCTTTGGTTTGCGGAAAAGCCATACTGATTGACCTGTTCATCGCCAGTTAAAGAAGGGGAACATCTTAGCGTGAGGATTCACAGCCTCAATAGCTGACCTGACACCCTCGCCAAATGGCCTGTATATAAGCTAATGTTCACCTGCTCTGCTTCTGCCACATGTAACCATTGCCAAGACGTCTGTTACTAAGGTATTTTGACGGCGTGTCTCAGCTGTGGAGTGAGGCATTTTCCGGAAAGATTTGCCATGCGCAAGCTTGAGTCCTGTATTGTGTGAGGGCTAGTGCTTATTCCCAGTCTCCATTCAATGTAGGTTGGATGTTAACACAACTGATGAACGATCGTATAAAAGTCAGATGCTTAAGTTAGTCAACGCAGTCTTCATAACCATTTAAAATACTGAAGGTTACAGAGCTACTTTGGATTTATCCACATCCGTAGCATACTAGTAATCTTGGAACTTTTTAGTATACAAACATGCAACAGTTAGAGCTGGGTAGGAAACTTAACTGTAATTTCAAGCACTAGACCAGGTCTTCACACTCTGAGGGGTCTGCTATTAATTTTACTCCCTAATGTCATAGTTTTAGAAATAAATTTTGTGATTTTCGAATTGTTTTACTATATTTATCTGATATATTTCAGTGTATACAGCATATCGATGCTAAATGTAGTTATTCACATGGTATGTTAATTGGGTAGTCGGTTCATCCAACATTACGGCATTAAAAGGTGGTCGTCATTACAGCAGTCACTTGTTGATTTGTCGCACCATGTATCTGTCATCCTCTCTAAACCAAAAACTATATTTTTCATGATATCCAAACTGCTGTGTTGGTTTTTGCTGATAATCTCTATAATTTTTACAAAAACGGGTTATTGTGACTTAGTTTTGCCAAGTTTGAAAGTACTGATGCGGACATCAGCTTGTATGCAAGAACGCAAACATAATCCCTACAACTACTTTTTGCGTTGTAATGAAGTTCGCCTCTTGTGATAAATCACTTCAGGCGTCGGGAAATTATTCCAATTTTGTCTAGTGCTTTGGATTTAGAATTGTTCTTTTTTGTGGATTAGCGGATCTGTAAGCTAAAGTATGTCTCCTAGCTCAGTCGGGTCCTCCATGTGTGGTTGTAATACATAATACAGTGTAAGATTAAGTAATCAGAAGCGTTTCTTTCAAAAAAATTCACATTGATCTTTATCTATCAGCACTTCCTTTTTACTAAGTGCGGTTATTGATAATAAAGTTTGAATTAGGTCATGAGATATGGCATGTTGTTAAGTTGTCCAAATGCATTGGTGTGACTGTGTCCAAAATATGGTTCACTCATAAGTGTGTGCGTTTAAAAAGGCTATCCACATTCCAGATACTATGAGCCCTAAAGTTTAGAATAAGCATATCAAAATCTGTCATTAAATATTATAAGAAAGAGCCATTTCGCGTGTCTAGTTTTCAAAAATTTGGAGAATCTCTGGTTATTTGGCGTGTATTTAGCAGTTTTTGGTCGTGGTAAAATTTTGACATATAGATGGTTTAACTTTCCGTTAATTAGCTACCCATAAAATTTCATTTTTGAAACGTTGGAAATGTAACAAGTCAATTTTTATTCCATTATGTCCAGGCAATGTTAATCAGACGATCAATTTTTGGATCTGATCCTGGGGGTGCGACTTTGGGAAAATGGTTAATGAACCTTAAAGTCGTTTCGTGTGAGGAAATTATAGCTTTTCCAGATGTTGTAGAAGTAATCCCAGGAGCGGATTTGGGAATTATTCGGTAAGTTAAATTCAGTGCTAATTTTCCCATTGCTTCTATGTGTTCATCTCAACATAAAGCAATTGGTTGTTATTAGTTCCTTCTTGTATTACTTATAACCTATCGGCTGAAGCTGTATACATTTATTGAGTTGTATTATTTTTGGCCGAGTGGGTTGTTTGTTACAGAATATTGCGTAAGTATGAGTGAGAACTTTCCTTTTGTTGCATAATTTCTAGGTGTTTTGTAAAGTTGAGAAATAAAAGCTACATTATGTTCTTAAATAATAGAAAGTTGGCACTCTTTTCGCATTTTGTAACGTCCAAAAACCAAAAAGAAACAGCATATATATATTGTCTAAGTTTTAAATAATATCTTCAACCTCAGAAACATTTTTACAGGAACAAGTGATCAAAGTAAGTAGAAATATTCGTAGAGGAGGCAATGGATCACTAAAAAAGTGCATGGTATTTCACCATGGCGTGATGTTCATTCCTTATTGATTAAGTGAATCTGTCTAACGCAACTAACTCGACACAACTTTGGTATATATTAGTCTATAAGCTACACTTTATTTTTGAAGTTTTTTTCAGTACTACCCGTTCGTCTTGGCCTAATTGGTAATATGGCTAAAAATCGTTCTCAGTGGCTCAGATGTATTCACTTTTTGTGATTTTCCATATCCATTAAAACTCTGCTGTCCTTCCATATATCTGTTCTTTTCCCCCTAGCACTTCTGTTTATTATCTGTTTTTTTTTTTTTGAACGTCCCTTTACTCTTTTCTCTTGCTTTGTGTGCTACATGGAGTGTGGCAATTCAAACTGCTGCACATCTGTGCACAGTTCTACGTTGAAACCAGTCAGTCAGCCAAGGCCTAAATAGATGGAGTGGGACTGGAATATTTAACTCATTGGCTAAATGGTATGCGTCTTAATAGGGAAGCATACTCTTTATATATTCTAAACTGTAATGCGCCGAAGCTGGTTGTCTTAATTTATGATTGTATAGCATTGCTATCAAAGGTAGATGATATATGGATTTCGTTAATTTGAATACTACATCCTTGCGTTGTCAACAAAATGTGAAGGCCTGACACGGAGTCTTAGTTGAGAGAACAAGCTGACAAGACACAAATATCAAATATCATCGGTTCAGGTATTATGTATTTCCAGTAACAGCTCAAACCCGGGATGGGTTAGTTAGAGTTCATTTAGAAAAGGTCAAAAGTATGCGGATCAAGAATTAATATCAACTCATTAAACCTCTGATTGTTGTAAGGAAGTGTAGGTTATTGGAATCAGTGGTTAGAGAGGAACGGCTATATGATATAAAGTTATCCTCCTAAGTTTTAATATTAACAGTTGATCTCTTTCTTTTATTCTAAGCCCTACGTTGACAGTTCAGTTCCCTTTTTTATTATTTTCTACTACTTACGATCTTACGGTTTTCATTCAATATGTTATTTACTTTATCTTCAGTTTTGGTCTATGACAAATTAAGCCGTTTCACACTAATGGTATTGCCTATGACGGTAATATTTTACTGTTCAGGTTTTATTGACTCATTGAAAAGAGGACTAGACAAGTATGGATACCTTCTAGCGATAAGTTGGTGAAAGAAATGACAAAGCCAATAGTCTGCACCAAAGAAAGGACTAGACACATCACACTATTTACTAGTATCTAATCAAAATATCCACTACAGTCCTACAGGAAGTCAATCGCGAGCCCGAATAGCTCAGTGGTAACGTCTCTGACTGCAGTACTAGGTGACGCGGGTTCGAATCTCAGAAGGGACATGAGTTCCTTCAAGGTTTCAGATACGCCTTGCTGACTGTTGAGCGCCAACTAGCACAAAACCTAGGTGAAACATGGCTTCCTGTGGCCGATTGCCTCCAACCATCTAATATCATCAAATCAATGTGCACCGCGATGGTGAGATACCTAGGATGGTGGCCACATTACAAACCTGACTGATAGAATTCAGTCTGCACCAAAGAAAGGACTAGACACATCACACTAGTTACTAATGTCCAATCAAAAAGCCAATAGTGTTGATTGTTGCATTATTATGCTATTTAAAGGATGACTGAAGTGATATCCTTGAGATGAGTTTATTTCGGCCAACGATTCATCAGCTCTATGTAGCTATACCCTCCTACAGGCTTGTCTGTGTTTACTCTTAAACTCAGAATTAACATCCACCGTTTAAATTACATGAGCACTGCTAGCTAGACTGTTGATTAATCAACAGTCAACTGTACAGACTTTATTGTAAACTAGGCGAAATACAAAGAAAAATCCATGTTATCTATTCCACTAATAGTCCTTTTAAGGAATCTGTTAGTAAAATAAATCAATTAATGTATTCATTTCACAATCATAACGTTTTAATGCTTCTTCATTTTCTATAAGCTTTTATGATTTAGAAGCAAAAAAACAATCGAAATCTGTTTTTTCTTCAATTTTTATTTTGACAGAGCACTAGTACGTTCGTTGCTGAAGAGTACAAACTTCCTTACTTTCTTTTCATTTGTTTGTATGATGGTGTTTCAATATCACCGGTGTACTTACGATATAATTGCTGGAACTTTAGTAGTACAACCTATTCCTCCCACTAATGAACCAAATAATGAAGGTGAACAACAACAACAGCAGCAACAACACCAGTAGCGAAGTCTTTGGAATTAATTACTCAAACTGAGTATCTCCAAAGTGAGTTTTTTTTTAGTCTATGAATATCGTTTTCTTGTGTGTGTGTGTGTGTAAGTTGAGAGTTTTTCTCAGACACCATATGCAACTTTGTTTACCATTATCCAGTGGTTAATATAAACCGTGTAAGCTGGTAGAACTCAGTTACCCGGAACAGATCCTTCCTGTACACCAGGCTAAGAGGACGGATGATGTTTTTAGCAGTAATAACAACATCTTTATTCTGCGCAATAAGTTTACACAATATGCATAATTTTCAGCATAGTTTACTGCATAATATTTTCACTTCATCCAGGAGTTTAAAGTAAGACAGCCATCGCCAGCACACCATGTGATGTAGTGATGTTAGATCTGAGAAATAAAATAAATCATCTATGGTATTCTTCTTCGGTCCCCCAGAATTGAGGAACAGTAGAGGTTGCAAATCAATTAAAAATATTTATGAGTATATTTGGCGAAACACGGACGTAAGTAAACGATTATAACAATGAGAACTAAAGAAAGTAAGATGCATCATCTCGGATTGAACTTCAGGTAGTCCAGTGATTCAAGCAGGTCGACAGTTGCCCAGGCTGAGGTAGTAGGGGGGCTGGGACTTGACCTCGGAAACTGCTGATTGAAATTCGACTGCTTACACTGCTGAGCCACATCTCTAACAGTAGTAGAACAGTACATCATTGGAAGCCTTATTTAGTAATTGATGGGTAAATATATATGTAATATATAAGTTAAACAGTTCTATTGCTGCCACATGAATAAAACTCGCCTCAGACTCCATGGATCTGATTTTCTTTTTACATCATCGTCACCGCATAGTTATTGTCTATTGATTTGTTTCATTAACAGACTTTCGGAGAAAAGCTGGTCGTATAGAGTAAATGAGGCACATTAAATCGTACTCATCGGTGTTCGGAGTTGGTAGTGAGTAGAATTGACTTACACGTCAGGACATTAATACACTGTGTACATTTTTTCTAAGTAGGATCGGGCTTTCGATTAAATAAACCAAACGTTCCAGTTACGCGTAAAAATACAAAGCACAGGATTTATCTAAACTACAGCTCTCCTCATGTTGTTAGATATCTAGGATGAATACCGTGTATCAATAAGAAAACAACAGACCTGTGCCATAAAAACAATCCACCGTCAGTAATAAACAAGCGCGAGTCAAAAGTGAAGCGTGATTCGAAATCTAGTGGTTGAATTTAAATGTCTGAGCTAGACAGATAAAAAATCCCTTATAACTAATGGATGACCCAAGATCACATTTCAGAGCAGTACGAAAATAAGTTAAAGAATCAAAGCGGTTCAAAAATCAGCCATGCAAAGCACACAAGTGTCTTTTGGGATGTCTGAAATTCGTAAGCGAGTCAGTCTGTCTTCACCCATTGTCAATCAAGGTGTTACATTGTTTGTTTCTATTGCTTCAGGATTCACGATGTTCACGAAGCTGAAACCAATTATTATTGGTTTCCTGTGTGTTAACGTAATGTTTTTACATGACCTTGAACAGCGTGAAAGAGTTCCATCTTTTAATGGATTTTCTGGAAGTCGACTCCAGAATTGATACGAAGATCTGAAAAGTTAAGACACCCTTTTTTTGTTAATAAAAGTTCGAAATCAAGTGTAAAATTTATGAAGCACTAGTGATTGACTACTCTTTTTCTGTTCTTTTTATCCAAAATACAACTGTTCGTATAGTTTGTAGTGTATCAGAGAAAATGCAAGTTAGTAATTGACAATAGTAATCAAATAATGGGTAAAAAGGCGATAGTTTCTCTATAATCTGGAGCAAGAACAAAAAGTAAAGAAATTCTCACCAGTGTCTTGTGCATATTCTGTCTGTCGTGTGTCAGCCTTTTGGAGCATCACTTTCATGTTGTCTTGTTAAAACAAAATCTGAGTGGAAGACAGTTTTGAAACAGTAACACTTATTCTCTTGGTATCTATTGGTCACTTGTGAATAATCATATCCACACAACTTGTGTATGCATTCGGGTTTTTAACCGTCATACCTTACTGGAATCCATACAATTCTTACTTTTCAAGTATATTATTGTAAACTGTATAACCCCGGAGTCCAACACAGTGACACAAGTGTGTAAACACCATATCTTCACCGAAATCTTGGACACAATATTTATTATATAGTTTTATGACATTTTATTGATCATTTTATTTTCCGTCTAATTCACAATTGTCAATTTTCTCCATTAAACGTCCTTTACGTTTCCTGTGGTTTTTCTGTTACAAGAATTGCCTGTTAAAATGTTTTAGCCATTCTGTGTAACATGAGTATATCTGATAACCTTGAGAATATCGATGTCTCTTTCAATGCCTTTCATGAACTTTCCAAAGTGAAAAAGGTCGCATACAGCAAAAATAAGTTGCACACTCTTGGATTTAGTCCCTTTTGTATGGATACAACACTGTGTTAAAAGACATTAGGAATACTGTAGATTTCTTTAGTCTCTAAAGCATGGTGTTTTGCATTGCAGTTGTATAATTATTGGACTACTGGTAAGCGTTGGCAAGATCACAGTTCACAATTTCGTACATTTTCAAATATACTCTTGTCTGTTAGGAAGAATACAGGCTATAATAACTGAAAGTTATACTGAATCATGTACAAATTAAAATCAATGATAGTTGAAGATATTTTCAAGCGAAATGTGTTTCAAGTTTGATTGCGGATTGGTATCAGTTAAAGAACCATTGGAGAGAAACGAGTACTGGACAACTGTTTCGCCGTAGTTTGGACTCTTCATCAGCACGTTAGAAATCATGGCTCACTGGATTCTGTCGCAGTGGCCGGACGGTCAACAAGCTCAACTCGTAACCAGAGTGTCCTGAGTTCCATCCCTGGTGCGGTAATACATGCATATTGTTGAAAAGACAGATTGGGACGAAATGGCTGTCCACTACTCCCTGATTTTCTATGGTTCTCTGATTGATGTCAGTCCGGGATCAGCATTGAAGACAGTCGAATTCCTATAAACTAACGCTAAAATATATTTCTCAATAGCCAGTTGTCTTCTTAACTCATTCACACGTTAACTTTTTGGAATTTTTCTTTTTCACTCTGAATATTGTTATTATGGCAGCACTTTTTACTCTCCCTTTTTTTATTAATGCTCTGTTTTTAGAATGCCCTATACACAACACACTTCTCTCACTGATTTTTCGGATAATGGAAAACGGACAAAGTCATTCAAATTGTATAATATACCTACCATACTTTACTGTAAAAATGTCCTTTTCTTCATACATATTCCATGCATCATGTGAAATTTCCATCGGTTTATATTTCTTTCAAAAGCAGAGTTGTTATTCGTTTATTTTCTCTCTTTTTTCTTTTCGCATCATTCATATTCTTGGTATTGTGCCATTCAAAGTTTGTGCAAAAATTGAAATAGTATTTATTTGTTTTGTTTTCAATCCTTCAAAAATAGAATATTGACAACAAATTTTTATTTGTTTGACGGTTCTTTTCGTTTAAAGTAGCTGTGAGCCGTCTACTTCGTTATTTCATTGCAATAATCCTATATATACATATAAGCATTTCGATAACTATTGAATTAATTCCTTTAATATGGTGCTAATGAACACAAAAATACAAATTACTCATTCTGAATAATTATTCTTTTATGTGAACATATTTCGATTATTTTTTCAGTTTTTATTTCATAGTTATTTGTGAAGGAGCACTAGTCTAATAATGAGGTTTTATGTTCAGTATAAGTGGGATGCAATTTCACTAACCCAACACTCACAGTTTAGAAACATTTATTTCCCGCATGAAGCAAGGATTTCATGAGTGCGTTAGATTTTGGTAGAGCTCTTCAGCTGAACTCTTTCTCTCTCTATCTCTTTCTTTCTCTCTCTCTCTCTCTCTCTCTATATATATATATATATATATTATAAGAAATGCGTTGAGAAATATATGGCTGGTAAAAAAAAATAATACAGTTAATCAACCATGCAAAAGACAGGAACGGATGTTGTACAGGTTAAGTTCGTATACATATGGGATATGGGAGAGAGATTGAGATAATAATGGATTACGGTTCAGTTACATCACTGCGTATTCAGTGGGGGAGTTCTGCGGGAATTCGATGAATTTATTGAATATTGCTTTATTAACATTTGTTGTTTGTTTTAAACTCATAGTTTGATGTCTTATGCAGTAAAACGCACTCTTAATAATACTTAATCATTCGAGCTGGCTTTAGATGGTAGGTGTATTTTTAAGTGCATGCACGTCAATGTACACAAAATTAACCAAAAGTTCTTTCGATGAAGAATCTAACCTTATAAACTTTACCGTTGAGTAGGTCCTATTATGTGCTGTGTACAGTTAGATTATGGAATAAACATTGTAACCAATCATTTTTGAATTGAGGTTGGATGGTAGTTCTTTCATAGCTTTTGTCGAACGCATTTTGGGGTAAATGGGGAGAATATTACCTACTCAAGCAGTATTATTCTGTTTCTTATTTGTACAGTCAACAGGAGTGTCATGGTTAGAGGAAAGTAATTAGAAACATTGTTCAGCGTGTTTGTAGAGATAGCTTTGAGTGTTAGGGCAGAAAAACCACTTATTGACTGGGTCCCAGTAGATAGTCGTATGAGTGCGGTCCGTTAGAAGAAGGAAGGACGGAGTCACCCGTCGTTGTCTTTTCATAGTCTCCGCTTACGCCCCAACAGACTGCAGTTCGGATGAAATAAAGGATGATTTCTAGCTGAAATTGTCTAATTTGCTGCAAAAAACAAAACGTTCATATATAGTTGTTTTAGCAGGCGACTTCAGTGCCCAAGTAGGGAAGTTGTGCCAGACTCAGAAGTATGTAGGTGGTACATATGGAGTTCCCTGCCGGCGAACCGACAACAGTGATCGTCTTCTACAGTTCTGCTCAGATAATCATCTGTTCCTTGTCAGTACTGAATTTAGGCACAAAGGTAGACACCGCGTAACCTGGCGACCTCCATCACCAAATCAGCGCTGGACTCAGATAGACCACATAACAATAGGATATCGTTGACGAGAGTCAGTAGAAGACTGCCGCTCCTTTTGGAACACATGCGTAGACTCCGATCACGCTCTGGTCCGTGCACGGTTTTGCTTACGACTAAACGGACATAAGAAATTACTGACAGTGAAACAGTTCCATCCCCAACTACATCAAGACCCTGAGTCTCTATTGAGGGAAGAAATAGCGAAACGTGTATCTGAGGTCGACAGCAGGACTTCCCCTGAGGTAGCCTGGTACAACATACAGTTAGCAGTATACACAGCTGTAAAAGCTGTTAATAACGTAAAACCAAAAGTTAGTAAGGGCCATTGGATCTCTACCGCCTCATCCGAACTGATTGACGCAAGAAGACTGATTCCAGCGAGCTCCTGTTATGGTGAAGAGCGAGAGTTACTCAAACGCAAACTAACAAGAAGTCTTCGTAACGACCGTGAACAGTGGTGGGCGACAAAAGCAAAAGAGATGGAAAAGGCATCGACGATTGGTAACACCAGACAACTATTTAGGCTTATCAGGGAAACAATTGGTAAAAGGGAAATGATAAGTGAAACAATCTCTGAAAAAAATGGCACCATAATTAGTTTCCAGGATAGACGACTCACTTCAGAGACTCAGGGATTGACTTGCTACCAGGGAATAATCTCGTTGACCTGGAATATGCAGATGATATAGTCCTTCTAGGTGAAGACGCTGACAAAATGCATAGTGTTCTGAACTCCTTAAGTTGCAATCTAAGAATGTTTGGCATACAATTCGCTCCCACCAAATGTAAGATGATGTACTGGACTGGACTACATTGATACCTAGCTTGGAAATAGGGAGTGAAGTGGTAGAGCGTGTTGACCACTTCACTTATTTGGGAAGTTGCATCAGCCAGTGCCAGCAGGTTGATCTCTGACGAAATCCCAGCACGGATACAGAGGGCTAGTTTCGCATATGCCAGTTTACGCCATCTCTGGCTTAGTAGACGTGATATCCGACTATCGATCAAAGGGCGTGTGTACTACCCAGCAGTCCGCTCTGTCCTCCTTTATGGCTGTGAGACCTGGCCATTGAGAGCGGATCTGTCTTTGATCATAGATGTCTGCGTTCGATTTTCCGCTTGAAGTGGTATAATAAGGTGAGCAATATTGAGATTAGGCATCGAGTGCTAGGTAAGGTGGGGAAATCAGTCGACGAGACTGTGAAATTACATCGACTGAGATGGTTAGGACATGTGTTACCTATGTCTAGTCATCGCCTTCCTTGACGGACAATGGTGGCTGACATAGGGTCAGTCTGGAAAACAACTAGCGGTGGTCAAACCAAAACATGGCACCAGTCAATGAAATCCACAACAGTTAGTTTAAGCCAGCCACGTAGGAAGGTGTAGACTTCCTGGTTGGGGTCCTCGGGACGGTACAAACCAATGGCTGGAGGCAATCGATGATATGGCTCAAAATCGTTTTCAATGGCGCAGATGCATCCACTCCTTGTGACTTATAATACCCAATGAAACTATATTGCTCTTCGTTATTACTATTCCTTTTGTCTCATATCCCTGTTTACTGTCTCTATTTTGCATTTCTTCTGCTTTCTTCTCTTGCTTTGTGTGCTACATGGAGTGTGGTGACTTGAACTGCCGCACATTGGTGCAAAGTTCTATGTTGAAAACAGACAGACAGTTTATCTTCTAAGGCACTAAACTTTTAGATCTATTGATGCTGAGATTATGGAAATAGTTCTTGATTGCAGACGAAGTGATACAACGAGGTGCTGAAAGTACTGATCAGTTAAGTAATATCTCAGATGGAGAAAATGGCTTGTGACTAATGGATGTGTTTAATGAAATCTATATCTGCATCCTGTTACAGTTCAGTCACTACTCGAGTTTTTCTATTTCCAGGCATCATTACTAGTGGAACTGCAAACCACTGATCTGAGCACTTGACTTCCAGTCACTAGAACACGGGTTCCAACCCCTCTCAATCTGTTGAGGTTCGGGTAAGTAACCAGGTAGTATCGGTAGCCTACATTGGTCATACGCATGTGAATGCGACTGGATGTTGAGTAACATTGTGGGAAATTATCCGTTTAGTATATAATGATGACCAAACGACTAAACTTTCAATAGCTTAATTTAATATTTATCTATCAGTGAGTGGTAAAACAAAGATGTAAGTCATCAAGTGTTATTGTGGTGTGCTACTTATAATCCGATATAAGTAGTATGTCAGAAAGCGAATTCAGAAAATTAACAATATGTTTTGCACACTGGAAAGAGCAATCAAAGAAGAGAAGTAT